CAATTTAATTTCAACAGACCCATCATAATGAATATTGCAATTAAATTATTTGAATTTAATTTCTTGCAGAAGTTCATGAAATTTGGCGAAACGGTGCATTATTTGATTTAGATCGCTAATTCCGACAGACCCCTATTGTCCCGTTTCGCATCACCTCCACTTCCATAAAATTTAAACTTAAAGATCTTTTCTCTATCTTGATTTTCAACGCAAGTTCAGCCACATATCATAGAAGAATACGTCATTTCTTCGTGCACGCTCTTACAACAATTCTCAAGGCACTTCCTTTTCTTTCTCTCATATTTGCAAATTGTAAACTTTGTCGAACATGTCAAATAGATTGCATGATGCACAAGTTGATCATATCAAGTTTTCATATATCACTTGGACATTCAATATCTTCTTTAGGCATTTGTTTCCTCTTCTTTTTTTTTCGACAACAATTACGATATTCTATCTTGAAAGAGAGAGATTTGGATGTGAGTATGGTGCTCTTCTTGTGAATTTATAATTTTATGCTCTAGCGTACCCCTAGGTTGAGGGCCCTTTTCATGAGCCAACCTAGATGGACACACGTAGTAGTATCTTTTTCTATTTTAAAAATCTGCTTTAAATTTGTGGCTAATGGGGATTTAAACCTTGTTTGCTTTGAATCAAAGGTCCCCTCCCACTACAACAAAATCTGGAGTTGGGCCAACGACTATAATTTATTCTCCAACATAGCTCAACTAAAACAAAAAAAATTCCATTAAACATAATTATTTGTTGGTAAACAGTTTTTTCTCTATATTGATTTTTTCAACAAAAGTTCAACCCATACTGTCCAAGCATCCTTATTTTCTTGGTTCATGAAGAATAGGCAACAAACGGAAACAAAAAGAAAGTTATGGTTTCTATTTCACACGTTGATTGACAGCTTCCCACCAAATAAGGCTTCAGACCTCGTAAAAGTAGGGTTTTACATTCATAATTGCATCACACTCTTCCAAGAAATCATATTTCCATAAATATCCCTTCCACTGAACAATGACTGATCTTTCACAGAGTTATAATACTTGATCACAAAATGTGGTTCTCAATATGAAAGAACTTTTACTATAGCAAACATGAAAGAATTTCCTAATGATTATGATTTTGTTGTAGGGAAGACGCCCATGAAATGCAAGTGTCTGTTTCCTTTCACTATTGATTAAAAAAGATAGAAGAAAAGATACACAGAAACTCCAAACAGAAGGAATGTATTTTATTATGCAAATACATTTTCTCCACTGTTTGAGTTTTCGTTCAATTTACCGAGAGAAGACAAACACACTAATAACATCATAAGAATGCTTTCTTGTAAATGGAGGTGTAGATTGTCAGCAAAAGGAGCAACCTAAATAATTATTGAAGCGTCTTTATACCATAAGTACAACGGTAAGATGGGTAAAAAAAAAAGAACTGGTTTGGCTGAAGCAACATCCTCAGACTCAAATCTGAGAAGCATAGACAAGTGAATTGGGACAACATTTGCCAAGAAGTCTATATAACTGGCAACAGATGTGCATTTAAAATAAACTGATAGCTATTGGCATTAACCATCAAAAGTACATTAATATTTTTAGACTCAGTAAATCATGGGAATCGATGTGCCCAGGCAAAGGAAAGGTTTCTAGGGTTTCAATATATAATAATCAATTAGTTGCTGTATTCATGTTCTACTGCTCCACAAAAAGAACCTCTAAATGCACTAGTGCTTCTCTCGGAAAGGGTTAGCTATTTGCTTTAGGAATATTCATTTCAGATACAAAATGTACTAATGGCCATCATTAGCATCATCTGATTTGTGGATATGGCGTTTGGAAGTCCGCAAACCTCATGTTCAGCAGAGCGGGCAACATGCAGTTATCGTTCTTTTTGGTTCAGGGGCAGAGGCTATAACAAATGGATTGTGATCCTTTATCATATGACAACAAAACAAGTAGTAAGAGAAAGCCAATGAGGTTGTCTAAAGATGTGCAAAAGATTAATATTCTTTTTTGAACGACTTAAATCCCATTGAGATAACCAAAAGATCGTCTTCCGATGATGAAGAAGACTTCATAACTAGAAGATTCAATGAGATCAATGCACCAACACCCATCATGAGATATGCATCTTAAGAAGAGTTATTCTTGGCTCACACAAATAAGAGTTTTAATCTTGCTTATCCATACTAACCATTGGGCACAAATAGCAGGGAATAACACACATCAAGAGTAGAGAGGAGCTTGGTAAGCAGCTTGACCACTTACCTAAAAGAGGGGGATCAGTCGTTTAAAGGAGGATGCTAAAAAGTTCAAAAGGCACTTATCAGTGGAAATGGTAGGCTGAGCAACCAGTCAGTCGATCTGCTTTTGACCAAAATTTTGGCAACTGAAACCACACCGATCATCTGCAGAAACTGAACTACAATGATGTTTTTCCGGTTAGGTTCGGATTGGTGCTGTTCAATCGGCTCTCCAGTGGACAAGTGTGAGTGGCATTTATACAAGAAATACATGCCGTGTGTTTTGATTAAGGAGCATTCACCTATTAAATAACAACTGCTACAGTATTGTCATGTGAATGAATTTAATAAGATAAGTTCAACCATAAAAAGAGTGGTCACACCCCACACTTATTTTATTAGTTTGCAAATGAATTGTTTGTCTTGTATCAAGATAGTAATGTATCCCACATATTCATACTAGTACTCAAATATTTCATGCTTAACAACAATGTAGTTCATGCTTAACAACAATGTAGTTCATGCATAACAAATAACAAATAGCCATAACAAATCATGAACTCAGTGCACTGGTGATTCTGTGAATATATGATGAAACGAAGGTGTTCCTCATTGCACAAGATTTGTGAAGAACAAAAAACTATCACACACTGGAGACATGAGACAACATGAATTAAATTTAGATTATATACCTAAGCTATGCATCTCTTTTTAGGTTGGATCTTCTGGATGCTTGAGAACATATGCATGAATTTGGTTCTTATCTCTTTTGTCATTGACTATAGACCATCAAAATCAAATATGATTATCGATTTTATTGAACAAAAGCTATCGAAAGAAATTTATACCTCCTGTGAAGGCGAGTCTGAAGTCGAAGGCGTATGTTAAGGGGGTCGCGGTTGCTCTGCCACGATAAAGTTACCGAAGCGTTGCAGATGAGGTTTGGATTTTAGTTGAAAGTTGAAGTTTACTGTTAGGTGAGGAGATGAAGGAGATGAGCGCAGGCGACTAAGGGTTTCCTCAATTTTTTGCGAACAAATCAGAGGAAATATCTCACGTAATCAATAGTCTGTTAAACGTGATCTTAAACTTATATGAATTTTGGTTTATTAGAACCCCTATAATCCAAAACCATATCCAATACACTAAATCACTAATACATCATACAGCGGTCAGTTCAGGGATGTCGGGTTGAAAATTTGTCAACTGGACCTGAACCAAAGAAGCATTGAAACTGATCCAAACTGCCAAATATTGGGCAGTTAGGTCTGTTTCTTCGGTTTCGGCCAAAGTATGGTCTCCCCTAGAGCTAGGAACTGGGAAGCACCATATGACAAAGAGGCCACTATCGCACGGCAGATACAAAAGAGACATGAAATCACTTCAAACACGAGGGATTTGTGTTGGACCTCACGCCAAGACCAGTCATGGCTGAACTGGAAAATGTTACTTACACATCTGCAAATAACTGAGAATCCCCAATAAAAATTAATAGATGAAGGAGAGCAAGTTCTTTCGAAGGACATCCAATCCTCAGGACACCATACTCAAGCTTATTGACAAGCTCAAATAAATTTAGATCTAGCAGTACCTTTTCCTTTCAAACGACCCTTTGTCTATTTTAGGGAAGTTTTTCATATGTATTGATTCTACTTGGTACAGAAGAAGAATCCAAATAAATGACATAAAGCTGATAGAAGAGTTTACCATACTTCCTACCGGCCACATGGTAAATGTATTGAGCAATAGCGGCAGTGAAATATTCAACTCAAGATTGCTTGATATGGGGAAATCTGTTCAATATCTTGGACCAAACAGAAACTATCATCCTCCACAACAAAGACTGCTGAAGCACAAATTTCAATTTTTGTCATCTAGGAAGCAAAGATCAGCTCAGGCCCAAAGAAAAGTTGATAGCTAAGTGGTCTCTTCTAAATAAAAGAATAGAGAATAAATAAAGTGATATCTAAGAGGAAAAAAAAGACATAAAGCTGATAGAAGATATAATGGAGATAGTTCTCACAACATAATACATTTCAGAAGTCAGAAAAATGAAATTTAACTAATACTTCATGTTGTCTTTAGATAAGTACGGATTAAGGACAATATTCAATTGACTAGCAAGGTAATTATTGTAGGAATGAGTTCAAAATGTGGACAAGAAAAATGAAATAAGAAGGGGTGGTCTTTAGGAGGGAGGGGAAGGGTTTGCAATGAATGAAGTCGTCATCAACCTAAAGACCAGCTTATCCATCAAATCATAGAGAGGGAGAGGGAGGGAGGGAGGACACTTCAAATTTGCACATTGAAGCCTCCATCAACATTTACAAGACATGCATGAATCCTCGGAATACAGAAGTAATATAAATTACCTTTTATATGTCCCCCCTTTAACTGCCAACAAGATTAATACAAACAAGCAAGAAAACCTCGATGCCCTATAATTCCCCATCACTAGAAGGCAGTCCCCACAGAAGTATGACGTAGCAATACTAGTTACGACCTTCACTGGAAGCAAGGAAATTCTAATTTTTAATAAAGAATAGTAGCATATCTAGATGGACATGTTCCTGGCTTCATGGAAAAAAAATGAGATTTAAAATCTTCTGTGTAGTATGTACCAAGAACATTGACCTAGTGTTTCTTCAGGAATAATCTTTAGGAGTTGGAAGAAATGTTTAAGCATGAAAAACTAAACTCCAGCTTCAATTAATTTAATTTCAGAGGATCTAACAAAAAGAAAATCACATACCTTTGTAGAAGAGGTTTCCGTGCAAATGCTCCAAATGAAAATATATACTTCAAACACAATTCGCCACTTGCTTTGGCAGCTAAAGTATGGTATACATAATCTTCAACAACAAAAACAACAGAAAACAACAGAAAACTTTTCAATATAGGTGACATTGTGTGATAAAAGATGTCAAAGAAAAACTAGATGCTATTCTTGTAAGCATTTCTCAAATATCAATGTGATGGTTACCTGTAAGTAATCTGGTCTCTTCCTCTGTTAACATGGTACCAGTCGAGTGAGAACCAAATCTAGCACTAGTATATTTCCGTACTAAATCTGGGCCCCATGGGCCGAAGCCTCTAGATAACAAAGATGAAAACTCATATTAGAACATTTCATCAGCTCAATATTCTATGAAATACCAGTATCAATGCAGTTCAAACAATTAAACACAAACTCAATAGTGACAGAAACATCAATACCATTGGAATTCAAAAAATTACACCCCTCCCCCCAATCCGATTGTAAAGGAACTGAACCGAATCTTCAAATTATTTTTTGGGTTATTTTATATATACCCTTAAATCATCAATATTTGCAAAATTACCCCCTAAAACTCAATATTTGCAAAATTACCCCCTAAAACTCAATATTTGCAAAAGCATCCTCAATTCACCACCATTTGAAAAAATCCCCTTCAGATCAATCTGGGTTAGTTATCAAGATAATTTTACTGAGTTGTACAGAGTGTTCCACAATTAGGCAGTGGAAATGGTGGTAAAATAGGAAGGGAACTCTATGATTTAGATGCAATTATCAGAGGATTTTGCTTTCACTTAAAATGGTTAAAAAAAGTAGTTTAACTCCATTGAAACCAAAACATAACCAGACTAGTAAAACCAACACATATAGGAAAAAAATCAGAATACATCTTGAACCTGAAACAATTCATTAAAGAGAACACCCAAGTGGAGAGTAAATATGCATTAGTACCAATACTGAAAGTCATATTAGGGAGCTGCTGCAAAATTCCTCTGAGATCCGTAAGGTCCTTTATGAGTTTGACGACTTAGCATCAGAAAGGTATGTTACCTAAATTGCCAGATTGTAGGATGAACCCAGCAGCAGCCAAATTTAATAGGAGTTTAGGAAATTTGTTAAGATGCCTTGTAGATAGGTTCACAAGGTTGAGTGCACTTGAAAACATTATGTGTTGTCAATCTAAAAAACATATAGATTTAGTTAATATATCTTTAGGTCTTACAGATATTGCTTCAAGAAATTCAACTGCCTATGATCTAAGTTCCAAAAATTCAGATCTGGATCAATTCTAAGTACAGGTCACCGCCTGAATTCACATTCACATCCAAGTTGAGGCAGCCTGTCTATGCCACGACTAATTCACTTACTAAAGGAACATCAATCACCAACTGTTTCTCGAAACCTAAGGGATTCACATCCAGGTTCAGGCAGCCTGTCCATGCCGAGACTAATTCACTTACTACAGGAACATGAATTGCCTCTCTTTTTTGAAATGGACTTCAGGTGGGCCAAAGTTCTGTGTAGTTTTTCCCTGCAAATGGGATCCTTGGATCAAATAGGAAGCTAATAAAATTATGAAAAGTACCGGAACCAACTACTATAAGTATGTCAATTTTCTAAGCTGACAAATTGAAATACAAAAATTAGTTGACTGATTCCATATTACTTTCTGTGAACAAATCTGTGTCCAAGGGTAAACTGAGATTTTGTTATCCAAGCAGATCTCATTGTACTCCAATTACTTTCCATGAAATGTCTCTTCTTTCAAGTGTATTCCCCTCCTCGTCAATTTTCAATAATGGAGCATTCACACAATCGCAGTTCACACCTGAACATTAACAAACCTTATACAAGCTATCACATGAACTGCTTAATTGATTTTAACCATTACAGCCTCCAGCATAATCACCGATTCACCATAAATAGTCACAAATATTGTATCACGTTACCAACTTACCCATAAAATCCCAAGAATAAGGATGTGATCGTCAATCACATTCATTCTCGACATCCCAAGAGTTTGCCTCGTCTTTTTCAATGATATGCAGAACTCTATCATCCCAAAGTAAATAGAGATATGCATAAACTAGAGCTAACAAGCAAATATTTCCAATCTAAAATCCACAACCAACAATATTGGATGAAAAACTTATATCCAAAATTTCAGTGTTCCAATTCAGCAATAATGCTGTCCAACACATTGAGGAGGCGGTTTTACAAATAGAGCAAAGAGTATATGCAGCCCCTTAAATATGCAGAACAAAGACTGATGAAAGAAAGCAGTCACCAGACCGATTACACATAAAAAGAGCTGTATGCCCTCCATCTAAAGTTAAAACAATTAGTAATAATGAGATGTGAGATCATCATAGACACCAACAATAAAACAAAGTTATAAGGTGAACCTGAAGGACAATAATAAAATATTCCCTCTAATAATAATGAGGAGTTTTCATACAAATAATAAACTTTACCGTATAATCTTTTGAGGAGTAAAATTAGACTCCCAAAGATGATTTACAACAGCACCCTTCCACGTGGCCCTAAATTTGGTTAGCCATTCTGATTGATGTTCTGATTCTGAAGAAAAGCCAGCAGAACCTACTAAAATCAAATGTTTGACATGTTCAGGGTGCTGGAAAGAGACGAAGAAACATGGTAAGCCTGATAGAGGGAAATTTAAGTAAAAGAAGAGTTTGACACAACCATCTTAGATATATAATCACCTTTAGAGCATATTTTGCAGCTACATAGCCACCAAAAGAATGTCCAAGCAATATGAAATTACTGATATTTTTGGCCTTACGCCATTCCTCAAAAGAATCGATGAACCAAGCCTCAGTTTCTGCATTCTCAGGGGATAAATTGTAATTAATGAAACTGGCACATTTCTGTAACGGCTAAAGTAGATCTAAGATATTTTACATGAGGACACTGAGATCGTATTCAAAGAAAACAAAAGAAAAAAAAAACAAAATAAAACAGTCCCAAGGTACACTAATAACTGTTATCAGATACAGATGGAATAAATAGACTGTAGATCCAATCTAAACCCTAGCCATTCAAGAGTGACAAAAACAAAAATAAAAGGGATTGTTTATTTTCTATTTTAAGCAACATCCGAATGTTTACTGCACAGTATTTGATTAGGAAATATCTAAAAGTTAAAGTATGTCTGCATTGTCATCGTACAGAAATCTCACTTTTTCCCTTGTATGTTAAGTCGAGCACAATAAGTGTGTCAACTGCAATATCCAAGGCCTTTCAATAAGCTCAGCCTTACAATCAAACACTTCATGCATCTTCTGGTATCTTGTCCTCATATAAATGTTAGTCCTACTTCATATCTTGATAGTAGCTTTTCTCTCTTTTCACTACTTTAGAACATGCCATGTGGGGAAGCCTACTGGTTTTCATGGATGGGGTTTGATGCAGATATCTTCTTTAACAATACATGACAAGGCTTGGCTGTATGTGAACTATACTACTGCTCCTCATTCTCATGTGATTAATAGACTTCATAGTAGGAGTCTTGGATATCAACGTTAAAGGCATGCAGCTTGTTATCTCCCCATATCCAAGTTATCAAGTTAAGTGAACTTCATGAATACATCTGACACACCCATGCAACTTGATTCGATATTTCTTTCCAAAGATAGTTTCTGTTCGTTAAATGCAGAATTCATGTTTAAGGATACATGTCAAAGTTATGGGGATATCTCATATTTATTCTCTGTTCTGAAGAATTTAACACATAAAAATCATACTTGGCAAACCCTCAATCAAATGAACCACAAAGAAACTCTTGTTATGCAATTCTTCTTTGATTAAGTATATAAATGTCAAGTAGCACTCGATATGCAGAAGTTGACAAGCAGAAGTGGAACGACGTGGGGCCAAGGGGGCCTTCGCCCCACCTTAGTGTTATGCAAATTTTAAAAAGATGGGGGTTAAAATGTAAAATGCGGGCAACTAAAGCAACAACTCTTCGGAGTTCCATTCCTAATATCTCATGATCAGGAACAGTGAGCTATGAAGTCGGGGTTTTTCTCTCATGAGCAAATAATGATCATCCCCTCGGCTTGAGCGAACAATGACTTTCCCTTAGCCCTCCTCTAGTCCTCTACTTGTGGCCATGGCCCGTGTTTGCTCAACGCTCCTCGGGTGAGCCTTTTATCTTCAAAATTTTCCTACCAATTGATCTCTTTAGTTTTCTAAGTCTTAATTTATGTCCGATTTTAGTGTTTAAAATTTCTAAATTTTGCCTCTTTTGGTTTATCTAGTTTTCAAATTTTCCGTCTTTGGATAATTTGATTTGTTTTATTATTTAGGTTTTAGGGTTTGATTTCAATTCTTAATAAAGCTAAAGTACGAATTTATGATGTCTATCTCAGTTAAACAAAATTATTCATTCATCCAATTCCTAATTCCTAAACAAAATCAAATAAAACCTCATATAAGTATCTATCACTGAAAGAAAGAATTTGAGAATCGATGAAATTTTCTTAAAAGACAATAAATGCATTTATGAATTATATCATTGTAATGATAATATTTGTTTAAAGCTTTATAATACCATATATTTTACATTGTTTTAGCCTGCAACAATTTCCTAAAAGAAATCAACAACTTTCTAACATCAGGGTTGAGGGTAACTCAATCATGGAATGATTTCTCAAAAGATAGCTCATATATCTTCCACCACTAGGGATGAGGGTGACTAGCAGCCATCATAGTCACCACAGCGGCCACAACAACTACCACCATCACAAATAGTGGAAAACCTAGATGAGCATAAACTTGTGGAGGATCCCAAACTAAGACCTAGTTATTATATAAATGCTACGGATTCTAAGCAATTAGAGTATATTCAAAAAACATATTTTCTCAAGAGTCCTTGCCAACCCATACTCGCAAACTATTTTGTTCGTATCTTTTCGAGTAGAGAATGACATTTTTACGAAGAATGGTTCATAGAGTATAAAAGTAGCTACTCATCAAGCTTTTTTTTAAAATCCAAGGGATCGATAAACTTGCTAAGAAGTGGATTGAACGGAAAATGGATACTTTATATATCCTTTGGTGGATAGGTTGGTGAAGTTGGCACTAATCTTGTTCGTCACAATTATAAGTGTTGCAAGAGCAATTTTGGCAATGAAATTATCAAGAATGAACGATGTTTTAAATATTATATGACAAAAACGTGTCGAACGGTTAAAATCCATGTCAAATGGTGGAAATCAAGGACATATCGGGGATACAACAACAAAGCCTTTGTTCTAAATGCTTGAGGTCAGCTACATGAATCCTACCCTTCCATTCTATTCTATTATGTGTCATCTCCTCTTTTAAGATAGTCAATCTCATATTCTTCGTAACTGCCTCCAACCAAGTTCTCTTAGGTTTACCTCCAACTCTTTTTGCCCCATTAACTATAATAAAGGTTTTAAATATTTGTTATCGGGAATTTATCGGATAGTCAAAATCCATATCGAATAGCGGATATCAGGGATATTCGAGGATAAATAGTATTTATCGAAGTGACATATCGGATGGTGTATATACATAATATAATACCCTAAATATAATCTAACCATACTTAATGAAATATAAACATACAAAATTGTAAATAAATATGTTTAGGTTCACTAACCAATTATAGAAACTTGCTTCTTGAATACATGCTTGTTGCTCGAAATCAAAATCCAACCAAAAAAAATCTAGCCTATAATTTTGAATTTTAGACTGATAAAATCAGCCGATATCTCACTTTATCGCCACATTATCACCGATAAGCATCCAAAAACGATAACCAATTTAAATTTGAACTTATCATAGGGAAAGGGGTTCAAATCCATCGGTGATAAATCGATATTATCAACCCATATTTAAAACCTTAACTATAATATTATCACTTTTTCTAACCAGTGTACTAAGAGGTCTCCGTTGTACGTGTCCAACCCACCTTAGTTGATTCTTTCATTTTATCCTCATTAGAAGCAACTTCTAATTTACTATAAATGTACTCTTATTCTATCTTTTAGTGTATATCAATAGGAGCAACATTCACATTTCTGCTACACTAATTTTTTACACATTTTTTTTAATTGCCTAACATTCTGATCTATAAAACATTATTAGTCTTACAACTATCTTATCAGGGTCATATCAGGTATATGTAGTAAATATCGGATTGTCATATCAGATGGTGTGCATACATAGAATATATTGTACTAAGTGCAATCTAAACATAATAAAATCTATAGTTTAAACGTATAAAAATGTAACGAACATATGACAAGTAAGTCCACTAACCCATTGTTAAACCCTCTTCGCACAAAACCCTAGTTTTCGATTTGCCTCCTATAGAGAGAGACCAGAGGGAGAGGGAGAGAGAGAGAAGAAAAGTGATAAACACACCTCAAAACCCTAATTTCCTTGAACGGCCACCAAGTCCTTGGTCAAATTCTTGCTCGCACAACTAATTGTGGTTTAAATAACAAAACTTTTGGGAACACGAAGATTTAGTATCACTTTTTTGCCCTGGACTTTAGTTGCGGGTCTTATAGGTGCTATTTGAGTGCTAAAAAAATATCGGGTTTAGATTTTGATCTCAAAAACTCAAACCCAATAGTTTAAACATGAAAATTTCCAAATCTGGTCCAAATTTGGTGACCAATAACATGCCCAACATTTCCAATATGTCCCAACATGAAGTTGATATTACATAAAAAAACATCATACGCCATGTCAAGGCCAATATTGTGGCAATGGGCATTTCAAACCGCTATGTTGGACATGACGACCAACATTTAAAATCCTCACAAATGACCTTTGAAATCAAAATGAAGATGAGTATATGAATAATTGTTTGTGCCTTATATTGAAAAATACATACTTTGTACCATTGATGAGAAAGATGTCATGAAATAGTTTCAATAAATGAAGGCAAAAAAGAATGTTGTTGTAAGCACTATATTCTAGTTTAAAATTTGATGTAGAAAGTATTGTTATGTGATGGTGTTTAGATGCTATTCAATCATGCAATTTTTTTTACATATTATCATGTTTAACTATTAAAGTTTTTGGCCCCTTCCAAAAATTCCTAGCTCGTCACTACTAACAAGTTCATGATTTATTGTGTGCATATGAACTACACATTACTCATGGAATTTTTCAATAAACGAAAACACAAGTTTGACATAAATATCAATATACATGAAAAAGAACACTATATGTTAGAGAGTTCCACAAACCTTCTGTGCTTTTACATGTAAAATCAGGTCTACTTGAGCCACCCCAACTGCAATGAATGATAATTGGCATTAGCAAATTGTTTTAGTAATATGAAAAAACATTGTTAAGATACAAGATATTCAAAGCCCTAAA